ATTCACTGTCTTTAAGGAAAAGGAGGCCAATGGGCATAATCTTATCACAACATTTCTGCTTTTATCTGGATGTCACAGAGGAGAAAGTTGGAATGTATGAAGTCTGCAGGCTCAGAAATATGACAGATGGAAAGAACCCAAGCAGTGCTTACCTTAGGTCTCACAACTTTTAACCACTGGATGACAGTGACCAGCTCAGGATTATCTTGCGATTGTCCTGACCTTAGCTTTTCAGGGGAACTCTCTTGCTGAAGGCAGACACTGTTCAGCCATTTAAAAGCTACAGCCTCTCTCTCAGGGAGAGAAAAAATTGGAAACAAAATCTTATACTTCAAGCTCTGGTAAATACAATACTCTCCTCTCATACTAACCAAGCACTTAAGTTTTTAGAGAATTTTCAGATAATAACCATTAAATTCTTGAAGCAGTTATCTTTATCTTATGTAGACGGAAAAAAAGACATCTGAAATTTAAGCTGAACTATGTGATCTTCCTCAGATCAGTGGGCAGAGCAAGCAAGTAACCTAGCAAAGGTTCCTGCTACCCATTCTTCAGCTTAATCTCCTGCACAGCTTGTGAAGACAAAAAGTAGCAAACCACACTCCCAAAGACACTGCAAATATTTTCTTCCTGTTGCAGCTTCAGAGCAGCTTGGTCTCTGGCAGCAGATCTCCTTAGAGTGCATCTTCCTCTGTAGATGCCAAATCTTTCTGCTTCTAGTAGTGCTCTAAGGGTTTTATCCTGCGCTTAAGGTCAGGATTCATTCTGTGTACAGGTATGCTTGACATACAACTGTGGCTATATGGATCTCAAGCACCACTGCTATTGTGGAAATGAATGGAATTAGTCTCTAGTGAGGGGCATAACTCTTAACTGAGATTCCTGTTGCATTATATGTGCAACAGCCTGCAGGGAGTTGCTGAGTCATGCACCAAATCTGCCTGTGACAGTGCAGAATGGTGCAGGGAGCACATTAATGAAACACTACTTAGGGTGAAAAAACTTGTTTTTGTTATCTCCACTGGCAAACTAGTGCAAGAATGTTAAAATACTGTATTAAGTTAGTTGTTATAGGGAAGGGAGAAGAATGATGCTTCAGAGTTATATGTCCACTAAAATTGAAGTTTGGATAATATGCATTCAGAAATAATTTTATTTTCCAGTAATGACAATATGCAATATCACGTAAGAAATGAAATTGAAGAATTGATCTCATTCTTCAAATACAGGACAGCTTCAATATTAAAATTAACATATAAATTTAGCATCAATCTTATTTCCCCACTCACGTCTGCTGAGTAAATGCACATAAAGAATGAATCACTGTAACAGTATACTGAGAGAATCAAAGTCATTTTTCAAAGGTGTCAGCACAAATGTGAGGTGAGCCTGTTCACCAAGCATCCAACAAATGTTGTAGGGGTGGCCCTTCAGGCCCATAAGGAGGGCAATTCAGAGATCCCCGGGAGGAGCAGCACAACCACCAGCAAAGGCAAGGCAGGGAGGAATTTGAGGCAGGACATACTCATTGCACTGTGCTTCACCCACACCCTGACTCTTCCCTCATCTACAGGTATGTGAGCCACTGGAGAACGCAAGCCATCACATTAGGGCTCTCCACAGCACACCTCTAAGGGAGAAATTAATATTGTTATTGTTTACACCATTGTTGGCTTTATCCACCTTGTCACAGCTAGAGGTTAAGGGGCAGGGATTAAGCAGTACACCTCTGAGGCAGCAGCCAGCCTTTGCAGAGCATACTGCTGACAGTCTTCGGTGTGCCTGCACCACGGCTGATTTCAAGCAGAGCCATGAACAGACAGCTTCCCGTAGCATTGCCCACCAATTTTGTGTGTGCCCATGACAGCTGACAGTGAAATCACCTGCCTGACAAAAGAAAAAGCAGCCCCAGGGCACCCTAGAGAGCAGGAACTGTGCAGAGGGCAAGAGGTCAAGTTTTCTTTCTCCAAGAAAGCCACAGATGCTTTAGCACCCAAAAGCAAAACAAAACAAAAAGACCTCTTTGTTTCTGGGCTTCAGCAGAGACCTCACCAGGCTCAAGTCATGTTTTCTGATGCTTAATTTTTTTATTTATTTTTTATTTTTTTTCTTTTGTGCTGGGTGTTGCCTCCATCTTTACCCCTCCTCACCCCCACCTCTTCTCCCTACCACAGCATGAACTATTTGCTCCGACATGGAAATATCCGTCTTTACCACAAGATGGAGCTGGAAAACGCAGGGTTTGGGTTCCGCACCCTCAGCCGTGGGAAAGGACGCGGCGCCGCCGCGGGGGCTCTGCGGGCTTAGGGCACAGTGCTGCTGCTGCCGGCTGCGGTGACACAGCTGTCACCGACCCCAGTAAAAGCACGGTCTGAGCCAGAACGCGGTCCACCACCTCTGGGGCCGGCTGGACGGGGCAGCCAGGGCTCCTGCAGAAAAAGGGGTCTCTCGCCCCTCGGTTGCCCACGCTGCAAGGGAGGGAGTGGGTGGGCATCCCTCAGCAGCACGGTGAGGTCTGAAGAGCAGGTCCCAGCGCTGTGCAGACAGAGAGAGGTCCTGCCAACACACCAAGAGAGTCTTGCTATGTGGCAGCTAGAAGTTAAAAATCATATTTGCCTGTAGCGTTGAAAATACAGTAATTTCTCAAAGATATCGTTGCAAGCCAATCCATATTTTTTAAAAAATTAATCTTCTAGATAGCCAAAATAATGTGTGGTCAAACAAAAAACGTTTTTCAACACCAAAACTTGCATTTTTGATGTTGAACGCATTTAGATTTACTTTATTTAAAAAAAAAAAAGAGAGAGAAAAATGTGAATTGAGTCAAAAAATAATTTATAACTCCAGACAAGCATTATTTTAAGTTGTTCACTTTTTTTCAGAAAACACTTCATCAAAAGAGATATAATTTAGAAATCATATTGCTGAATCTGCATTTTTCACCACAAGTGTTTAGAGTGATAATAGTTCACTCCAGTTTAGCCAAGGGTCACCTTTCTTTGAAACACGTCTCAAATCCAAGATGCCAAAATTCCATTTTCTGAAAACTCACAGGCCATTGGGTGTAAGGTGACTATGAGCTGCCACGGGCACCACTAACTGGTCTTTCTGCTGGAGATGATTTGCACTTTGTAGAAAAAATAAAAATAAAAAAATCATTCAAAGTACAGGGATGCCTATACAAAGATTTCTGATGGAGGGAAATCTGCTTGGTGCATGAGCTAAAAACCAGATCTCCTAGACCTATCTGCTCTTACCTGCCTTTGATATTTAATTTCTCCATGATGTTGGAGCACAGCATTTCACTACATAATCCATTTCTGTTTGCAAAATCAACCCTATTTTGCCTATTACTTTTCTCTCTGGAGTGGCTGGAAGATTAATTTGTCTACAAGTGCCATGTGAGTGCAGGCAAGTCTATCATACAACATTATAATTCTGTGTTCATGAAAATTCCAGATGTTTTCACATTTACATTTCCATAAGGGAAGCTATTTATTTTCTTTCCTCTCTCCCTTCACCTTTATGTCATTGCTTTGTAGCATTATCAACAAATTGCTTTTCTGAACAGGTTAGGAAATAATGCAAGAAAAAGTATCTTTCTGTTCATTTATCCCCTAAGGAAAATAAAATAATGATTTATTTTATTATCCTTTTTGTGCATGTTCAGTATCTTTATAAAATGCAAGATTCACTGGGCACAAACCTTACAAAATATGAAATGCCAAATAAGAACACAGGCCTTCGCAACAGCAATGACACCAGATAATACGCCTGATATATATTACATTCTTAATGCCCATCTGCTTCAGAACCCAACGTCAGGGCAGCTTCAATTGTTTTTGAGGTGTGGGACTAATCCATACACCTGACAGGACTGACAGCTATTTCATCTGCATTCAGAAGTGTGTTTTGGAAAAGCCAGTGGTCAAGCAGATGCAACTTGTGAAAGGTTGAAAAAATGGCACTAAAACATTAAAAAACTTCTAAGTGGACAATTAATTTAGTGGCATTCCTCATCAGAAGCAATTCCTTGTGTTACTCTGACACGCTTAAGCTATGTAGTGAAATCAATGCATGCAAACATGCAATAAATTGTTCAAATCATTACTTTTCTAGATTTAGGGAAGTTGCCATTTGGCTAAATGTTTGGCTAAAAGAAATTCCTGCTATTACATCCTATCTCCTTTTTTTCTACTTCTACAGTATAGGAAAAAGATGCTTCTGAAGCAGGGAGAGCCATTTTTTCTGCTTTACTCAGCTGTCTGCAGTACTCAAGAGACCTTAGCTTCCCTCACAACAACATTTGCCTCATCTCAGTTGCAAGCTACAAGGCAGGGAAGCAGAACCTGGTCTTGGAAAAAGAGACTTCCCTTGACTGCAGCTGCTGGAGCTGGACATTATAGCCCCAGCTGAGGATTAATCAGCTCTCTATCTTCAGAAATGTTATTTGGCTAGTATAAATGACATAAACCAAGATCATCATCTCAGTTTATTTTTCTAGAGTCCTTAGCATGCTACATTAACCTGACAATGTTTAATCTTGTGTTCATTTCACAATACACTTCATGCAATACACAGCTGTAATTGGTTTTACACTGACATTACACGTTTCAACCTAGCCATGGGAAAAGAATAACTCTTAATATTATTTCTCTGAAAAGTGTCCAAGCTCGTACAGCACAGAAGCAGCTGATGCTAGTTCCATGTGCATATTTCTTTCTTCTGCCTTTCTTTCACTGCAAGACTGATCACCGACATAAGACTGTAAGGTCCTTGTTTCAGTTCATCTGCAATTGAACTACGTTTGTTTGATTTCATGTGTCCTGAGGAGTTGTCTCTTATAAAACAGCATTCAAGTATTCTAGTTTAACATCCCCATTTTTCTGAGTTAAGGAACAAAGTAGACCTTGGGCTTCTGTTTTCATTATGAGTCTTCCAGAGTCCCATAACTGGTAGCCATAAAGTCTTCCTTTGTAACACTCAGCACTAAAGCCAGAGTATTGCTATTTGGCATTATCCAGTGAAGTGCAAGAAATTAAATAATTTATGTCTTTATTGCTATAGTACAACACCATGCAAAGTCAATTTTTAATAGAATTGCAAGGATTTCATAGAGTACATGCCCCTCCTCTTAGGGCCCAGTAGTTCAGCTGCACTGCAAGTATCGCTTAGCTATCATGTGTCGAATGTCAATCTAAGAAGATGTGTTGAGTATTCTTGAGTCTGAAGAATCAGACCTTTCATCATACTCATCTTCTGTGTAAATTGGTTGCTTAGACACTATAGGACACCCATCATCAGGGATTGAGATCCTAGGATCTTCTGATGAGCGGGAAGGAAGGACAGGTGAGCTTCGGAAAACACTGGCTGAGTTGCTAGAGAAAGGACTGACATACTGGGACCGCAACTGGTACTGCTGCTGCAGTGTCATGGTATTCCACAGGGTGACATCATTGGGCAGGAACGGGCTGGACTGGTTTCTTGCCAAAGTGTTCCTCAACATAAGCGGGTAGCGTGGTGGCTGAGGGAAAGGATGTTGCAAAGGTAAAGCCAGAGGATTTGGCACGACATTACTGGAATCAGCAGAGAACCTCAATGTGTCGGGAACCCTAAATGCTGAGCCCACAGACCATTTGGACGAGGAAATAGGGTACGAACTCAATGTGTGTTCAAAAATGTGCCCATTGGAAGGTAAAACAAGACCATCAGATTCTGCAGAAGTTCTCTCTCCACTGGCCACCGAAGACCGACTGGACAGGAGAACCTCTACAGCACTCACCAGATCACCACCGCAACCCTTCAGGATCAACTCCAGCACTGTTGGCTTTTGGTTAGGGAAGATCTTTTTCAAGACTTCAAGTGGAGGTCTGTTGGCTTTCAAACTGAAAGGTAAAGAAACTGCCCCAGAAGGACCTTCTATCAGAAGGTGGTTCTGCTCTGGATGGTACTTAGGGCTGTCTGGACGACTCTCTGTGCTCCCACCATTTTTCTGAACTGCATAACCAACCTCATCCACTGAAACAATTTCAGGGCTTTCAGGGGTGAAGCAACTTTTGGCTTTAGCCATGTCTGGGGAACTCCTTTGGTCTGTGTCTTTGTCACTGTAGGTCTCAGCATTGTCTGTTCCACTGGTGTCACCCAATCGCTCCTCATTCATGTCTGCAAAGAGAAGTCAGAGAAGTTAACAAAAAACTGAGGCCAGAAGCTTTTACAGAGATTTGAGGAGACGGTCTTCTTCAAGTGAGCAGAGCAAGAACCTAGGGAAGGAGGGGGGGGTAAATAACGAAACAACAACAACAACCAAATAAAAACAATCTCTCTTTTTCAGAGAGATCCTGCTAAAATGAACTTCTGCTTGCAACATCTCATGAGAACAGAACTGCAAAAGAGTAATATGACCTTAATAAGGCATTTTCTGCTGCCTTATAGATATCTGTGTCCTTCTCCCATGTACAAGAAAAGAAGCAATGATCATTTTTCTGCTGCATCAAACATGGTATATCAGTCCTCTCTGGTTAAAAGGCAGCAACAAGCCATCCAAGTGCAAGCTTTCTCAGAGAAATTTCAGCACTTTCACATAATAATTCCTCACTAGCATCATCTCACTGACTGTGAGCTGAAGATACTCGGAGGGCACCTGGGAGATCAAAATTCCCTCTGCAAGTCTACAGCATTGATGGAACCACTCCATTATGACTACTGGCTGAAGGTTAAAGAAGTCTTCTGAAAAATCAGTGTATTATAGTTCTGGCTCTGCACAAACTAATTTCTTCCTCAGCAAGAATCACAGGCTTTTTTGTCCAAACCCTGGTTTGGAGGATGCCTTGGCCCCTTAGAGCACAGAATCTAGAAAAATCTGGTTTGAAGACAGGGCCTCTGGAAGGCATCTGATCTAACTTCCTGATCAAAGCAGGAGTAATCTAAAGTATAGAGCACATTGCCCATGTCCCTGCTCAGCTGAGTTTTAAACAACGCCAAGGATGGAGTCTCCACAACCTCCCTCAGCACTTGTTCCAAATACCTTGCTTTTTTGTGCTAAACTAAGAAGAACAAAAGCTGAGTACAGGACTGAAAACAAGCCACTTGACCATGCTGACTCCAGATGGACACTCAAAAATGGGTATACCCCAAGCCTCTGGTCACTTTGGTAACATCTGGCCAGACTATGGAAACCTTTGAAATAGGACTGCTTGTCAGAAAGAAGTGAAGAAGAAAGGTTAACAGCCTTCAGAGTTTATGCACAAGGGAGGCAATGCATTTTCTTGACACTGTTCACAGTCATTTCCCAAGTATGCTGTTCTGCTGGCCTCCCTCTTACAGCACGATGCTAATCTCCTTGGTAAGCACCAATGTCTGAGGAAGGGTTGTTGTCCAAGCCAGCTGACAGAGCCGGCTTTAACTGCACAGGGCAGTACTTTTGAACACACATATGTGAAATACTATCAGGAGGGTCTCCTGAGGATGGCTGTGCTGGGCAGAAATGATGGGCCATCCTATACAGCTGTGGGATGGTGCTAGTTTGGGCTGCGGAAGGTGAACATAGGAGTGGAGCTCAGAAATACAGATGATCTTCTGAAGATGCCCTTCTTTTTTAGCTGGATAACCCAAGTACCCTTTTTTATATTGGTTATGCTTTCTGTCCAGTGCAAACAGAGATGCAATAACCCTCCACGTAGGTATATTACAGAGAAGGCAATGTATGTATGCTCTTCTTTATACACACAGTGCATCACTATTGCTTTTGCAGCCAAAGGGGAATGCAGGATATGTCTGCCAGTAGCAAGCTAGGAACAAGTATTCTTTTGAGGAGGTGGTAAGACCTCGACATAGCTCATCCGTTCTTTGAAAAAAAAAAAAAGTGAGGCTTACACTATCTGTCCCTCATAATCCCTTCACATGCTCATAATGATGCATTTATTACAAAGGACAGGATGTTAAGAATAATTCACTTGTGAGTGAATGGGCAATTTATACATCGAAGGCTTACTGGGCAGTCTGAGGACAGCTGATGACCTCTGTTCCTGTCTTCCCAGAGACAGAGAGGCATTTAACCGTGACGATGGTCCTAATTCCCACATAAATACATTGCACTGTGATACCCAAAATTACCTAATGGGCCACATGGATGTAATACTATTTCAGGAGTCTTCTGCTTTTTCAGTGTTACTTTATGGGCTGACAACAAACATTACTGGAGAGCAAATATATGCTAAAAAAAAAAAGAGTATTATTAGATCTCCCTTATATATTCCCCGATTCTGAATAATTATTATTTTCAAGTTATTTCAGATTTGTTTTCCGTTTCTTTAACAGTAACTGTAAGAGGCTTGGCTAAAACTTTTCTTCAAATTCTGAAAACTCATTCCACTGAGGTTTGGAACATCAGCAGACTGCAGAGATCCCGAGCCTCAGCCTTGCACCGGGACCACCGCCTCGCACAGCAGCGATCGGAGCTGTGCATCTCACCGGACTGCTGGGCTCAGGGGGTCAAACCCGTAAAACCAGATTCTGGAGATTTAAATCAAACGCTGCTATTAACACAAGGAGGATTATCCTATCCCGTTTAACATAGAGTTTGGATGCTACTATATTATTTTTTTTCCTCTGCCTTTTTTTAGCGCATTTCTGAATGTGGATGCCCGGCGGTTTGCCTTGCCGTGCCTCAGGTCCGGTAACCGCTGCCGGCTCTCTGACTGCTCGCCGGCCTGGCAGGTGGTGTTTTGGGTATGCTTTTTCTTCCCTCGAACATCCCTTCCTCGCCACGCTCCGGGCGCGTCCTGCGGGGGTGTTCCCTCCTCCCCATGCCAAGGCCGGCGGTTCCCTTTGTTTAAAACGGGCAGAAAGCTGCAACCGGTAAATCAAGATTTGGGAAGATACACTTTAAATGTCGTTATGCAGGCACTGAATTGTAAAATCACTGCATGCACATATTAATGCCAAATATCTGTATTTTTCAGGTACAAAACTAGTATTTTTGTATTCAGAATATACAGCCCGCTGTTTTTAGCCAAAGGTAGTTTTTGCACTGCTTATAAGCTTCACATAAGGATGTTCTAGGCTTTAAGAAAGAAATCTCCTCTGTAGACATTTTTTATGTTTGTGGATTTGGGGTGTTTTGTTTGGTTTTGTTTTTCCATGCCTTCTATTTCAAATTGCCCGCATTCAAGTATTCATTTTACCAGCCGTGAGGAAACTAGGGAAATTGTTTTCTTATTGAACAGTTACAAACGACGGGGAATATTCACCAAATAATATGCATGCAGAGACAGATACGCATCCAGATCTACAGAGACGCGGTGCGGACGCAGCTACACACGAAACACAGTGCAGTGGGAGAATCGTGCAGTGCATTCACGGTAAAATCTATTTCAACAAACAAATCTGCTACGAATCTCGAGAAATGCACACGCCAATGTTTCTTTGCCTATTTATACATTGAGGATCGTGAGTCAAATATTGTAAAGGGGCCAAATAAAAGTAAAACGACTGAAAGAGAGAAGCTGTTCTCCTGAAGTTAGTAACTCTTCTGGAAAACTTGGTCTAATACTTTGGAAACAAATTTGCTTCTTTGATATTCCCACTGCAGATTCTCTGTTAAAACAGGTTGCACTCTGATTGTTAGAACAGCTCTTTCTGCAATACAGATTTTCTTGGATTCCAAAAACATCTGCTGTTTTCTATATTTCTATTATTGGAGTCAACTGATACCAGAACTTGCAGAAAGCCACATAAAGCTAAGGTCATGTAAAACTTAGTATTTTGTTTCGGTGGGG